CACAAAGATATCCAGGAGGAAGTGGACACCTTTATGTTTGAGGTATTATTACAATAACTAGTGATGGGAGGAACAAAGCTTTATGAAATGATTCACTGTTTCAAAGTGCTCAAATGCTGGCGGGCACCTGCTGGTTAAAACAATGCAACGAAAACTCATCCCAAACATGTATATCATAATCGCCATAATTATGTAAAGTATCATAAATACACCTCTTTAAAACCAATTACAAATGTTTTCAGAAATACCCTTAAATATGAATGTTCTGTCAAATTTGTGTTCTTTTATTAATGTATAGTGCTTGTTTTTCTGTGTTATTAGGCAAGGCTTGGTAAACTAGGTCATTATCATCCACCTTTTCTGTATTATACACTTATTAAAATTCATTAAATTAAAAGAACCTACATAATAAAACTTAAAACCATTAGACACTTGTTCATAGGGGTCACCAAATCAACGCCATCTAGCGGCGAATCACTGAAATTCTACAATGTTTTGAAACCAATGTTCGAAACAGCATGATGCAATAAAGCCTTGTTTGCAGAAATCCGGTAACTTGCCAAGTTCGATACATCCAAACGAAATAAAAGATTTGCAAATGTTTCGAAGCTTCATGAATCAGAGTTTCGAAAGCAGCCATCACTAACAATAGCTTCATTTTAGAGTGCTGTTATATCCTAATGGCGCGATTCCAATTAGCCTTTTCCCTTCATTTTTCAGGGTCATGATACGACAGCAGCTGCCATGAACTGGGCCATACACTTGTTAGGATCCCATCCTGAAGTCCAAAAAAAGGCACAACAAGAACTATTTGAGGTTTTTGGTGTGTTAAGCCCACTTGTGGTTCATATTGTACAGTTATACACTGAGAATAAGGGTTTAAATCATTACTTTGTTGCGAGGTAAAGAGCCTGAAACAGCTTGGAACTCATTTTGATAACTTTGCAATGCATGTGTGTGTCAGGCGAGTCAGAAAGGCCTATTAACACAGAGGATCTGAAGAAACTGCGTTATCTGGAGTGTGTGATAAAGGAGTCTCTGCGGCTCTTCCCCTCTGTTCCGTTTTTTGCCCGAACCATCTGTGAGGATACACAGATCAGTGAGTTCCTTATATTAGTCTGCTTGTCACATATTCATTCATTCTTTGGGTCATGCGCACATTGAGTAATGAGGTATTTTGTTAATTTATACATTTTATAATTTATACAGTTATTTTATTTACAGTTGATTTATTTATAATTTATACAGGTAATTTATACAGCCAATTTTTTCATCCATTTTGTTCTGTTCGTTCATCAGTTTCAGCAATAATTCACACACAAATAGGTCCAAACCCATATGACCTACTGTGTTCTGTGAATGACAATAGGAGAGATTTAATAATGTGCTGATAGCTGATCACCCCCCAAAATATATTTTTTAATTATTTACTCACCCCAAATGTCATTGAAAATTCTACTGCTATGTTTTTGGAACACACACACACACACAAATAACCTTTATTTATTTATTTTTTCCCCATGCAATAAAGTATCCAAAAAGTAGGACATTTTATTTGATTGGTTTTGATTTACGTTCCACTCAAAAAATAACAGCACACACGTTTAAATCAACATAAAGGTGAATAAATAATGATGTAATTTTCACTTTTTGGCGAGCTATTCTTTTAAGAAACTGTAAAGATGGACATTTGACATGATATTTGTGTTTGTATTCAATAGATGGCTATAAAGTCCCTAAAGGAGCAAATGTCATCATCATAACTTATGCCGTTCACCGTGACCCACGCTTCTTCCCTGACCCTGAAGAGTTTCGTCCTGAACGTTTCCTGCCAGAGAATTGCATCGGTCGCCATCCTTATGCCTTCATCCCATTCTCTGCCGGCCTTCGCAACTGCATCGGTGAGACCTACACACACCAACATAAACATCATACATAAAAATAATGTATCATTCTACCTTTCCACAGTTTTTTTTTAATAACATACACAGTTTTATGTTTGTGTGTATTCAGGTCAGCGTTTTGCTATAATGGAGGAGAAGGTTATTCTGGCTTCTATTCTGCGCTACTTTAACATAGTAGCATGTCAGAAAAGGGAGGATCTCCGGCCACTGGGCGAACTGGTACTGCGACCAGAGCGAGGCATCTGGATCACGTTGGAGCGCAGAAAGCACTAATATACACATAGCCAACACAGTGTCATGAGAATTTGTACAAGATGGCAGTATTGTGTAGTGTATGATTCAAACCTAAATTTACCCATAAAGCCTAAACCATGTTTGTTCTACACTTTTGTATGATATCCACCTTATTTTGCAATGTGGAAGCAAGCTTTTTTCTTTGAATATGCAAAACTTCTGATTCATTAGACAC